CCCCCCCACAAAACAATTAGTTCACCTATTTGATAAGCAACTAGGCTCAAAAGACAGCAAAAGTCCGAACGAGAATTTCAACTAGAAAAGAAAAAAAAAAACTAAAAGAAAGAAAGAAGTAGAAGCTTGCATCAAGGTCAAATTAACTAGACTAGAATTCATCATCTTCATTAAATTAAGGAGACCTTTGGGGATCAAGAAAGTCAACATTTACATTGTTTCACATCATGAAATCAAACCAATATTTATAATAGCTTTATGAAGTCAATGCCCATCTGATACAGCCGTATACCTTATTAATTCACATTAAAGCGTACTATCGAAATCCAAATGAACTACTTTAATAAGACATCGATCTTCTCTATCTTGTGTTTTCCATTTCTTGCTAACTTGTCAGCATTGTGGAGTTTTCCTTCCATTCTACCTAGAACAGCCTTGAATTATTGAAATGTTAATTTCCTGTCACAATCTTAAGATCATGCTCAGGCGAAAAGTCAATTATTGGTTGTTCTTTCATCTTATAAGTCTGAAATTGAATATTTGGATGAAGAACTATATATTTTCGTACCTTCACAACGGCCAAGAGTTTCAAATTCTTGGTCCAAACATCCATCTTACGAAAGGCGTATGTCACTAAGTCACAACCGTTTGTTTAAATTGAGAGATTTCGCATCTCCTTTCGGCATTTACCTCATCTCAAAATGTATGCTAGGTAGTTTTGCTAGCTTCCAGGAGGTATATGGGAGTATTAGCAGTACAACTACCTCAAATCAATTGTAACCTTCTTTTGGAGATGAATAAAATGCTGAAAATTTATGAAAATAAAAAAACTATCTACTGACGACAATACATAATTAAACCATTGGCGAATATAATGATGATTTCGCGAATTCAGCAAAATTTGTGTTGGCGATTAATAGTAAATTATGAATGCAAATTCATGTGTCTTTTATACAATTTTTGTCACTTAAGAATGGTTATTAAGTTATATATATCATTTTTTTTCTCTTTAATTTGTAACTGATAAGGTTAAATTATTCTGTTTGGTATAAACAGCAAGTGTGCGGATAAATATTTACCATATTTTGAAGTCCAAACCTATAAATAATTGCACAAAATAACCATAAATAGAATTAAATATACATTTCTGAACTCATTCTCTTGATAATCTTATTTTTTTTCTGAATCAACGAAGCCGATGTGAAGAGGATTAACATGTTCTCACCGCCATAGACATTTGGGCCTAACTATAAAGGTGAAAATTAAAAGAGAAATTAAGTCGTATATACAACTGCTCAGAAAAGAAGCCAAAAGAAATACATAAAAAGAGATTAAGTACTTTTCTTGTTCAACCCAAAAGCTAGCTCAGCCTATGATATTTGTCATATCTTTCTCTTTGTGTCCCGATCGTTACTATCGTTTCCTTTGGCTAATTCTTCTACCTTGCAACAATAGACAACAAACGGACTAAAATTTTGGTGGCTAACGGAGGCAGATTTACAAGGCTTGTGCTTTGATCAAGTTCAGTCGCATGTACTATTTTTAGCTCGAACTATGTACATATAAAACAAATTTAAAATGTACATATATAATAAGATCAGATTCGTTATGACTTACTGACCACGAACTGATTCTAGATTCGAGATTCGCTTCCAACTCACCACGAATTGATTCTGAAGTTGCTGAGCTTGCATGTCCTCTCGATCTCCTTGTTCGTGTTCGATCGTTGCTATCTTTTTTCTTCGGCTAACTCTTATATGTTGCAATGATAAGCCACCAATGGAAGTTGGTGCTAATAACTCCGAGCCGAGATTACGACGAGTTCTGGGAGTTCAATTGAATATGGTTTCGACTTGAACATACGTGAATACAATTAAGATATACAATCATACTATATAATTGATATTCATTTTGAACTCACTGACTTTAGTCGTGAGTCGTGACTCGCCTTTGCTAGCTCATAGCCCATGAGATTGGCTTCGAAGTTGCTGAGCTTGCATGGAAGGGGGAGATGATGACACTCTCCAAATCTTCACTGATTTATCAAGGCTACCACTATACAAAATAAACTGCCTATCACCACTTGTAATTGGTCCATGATCTTCTTCAACAGCCAAACATTTGACAGGACCAGAATGTCCTTTCAACACTGATAAACACATATGATCACCACCTTCCCTTTTCCACACACATATATTTGTGTCAGCTGATCCACTAAAAACTAAATTTCCTGCAGTTGCTAAGCAAAGAACTGCCAATTTATGTCCTCTGAGAACTCCTCCACGTGACAAAAACTTCGCGCGTTCCCAGAAGTTGACTAGTCCATCAGACGAACCACAGTAAAGAAAACTGGATGTAGGGTCCACGACTAATGATGTTACTGCACATTCTTGGTTTAACAACGTTTGTGAGAAAAAATGTTTTGTTTTATTTCCTTGTAATTCTCTTCTCCAAATTTTCACTGTTCCATCAGCCGAGCCTGAAAAAACTAGCCCGTCAAACCCTACAACCACTGAATTTACAGCATCTTCATGGGCATTTATAGATTCCAAACACTTAAAATCTAATGCTCTCCAAACCTTTATAGTTTTATCCCAAGATGCTGAATATAAAAGATTTTGGTCTTCACTCATGCTAAGAGATGAAATAGCATCAAAATGTTTAATCCACACGGCATTTCTATTTCTTCTCACTTCAACGTAATTGTTTGGATTCATTGAACTTTTTATATAAGCCTTCAAAGTTGGTAATGTTCCAATGCGCTTGTAAACGTTTGGATCGTTAGAAGATATCTTCCAGACACGCACCTGTTTAAGAAGTAATTAAGCAAATAAAAGTGCGCTCTCTGTAAGGTATCAGACTCGCACGTGAGAGCGCGTAAAAAGGCAGCCCGGTGCACTAAGCTTCCGTTATGTGCGGGGTTCAGGGAAAGGCCGGACCACCAGGGTCTATTGTACGCAGTCTTACCCTGCATTTCTGCAAGAGGCTGTTTTTATGGCTCGAACCCGTGACCTCCTGATCACATAGCAGCAACTTTACCAGTTACGTCAAGGCTCCATTCGCACGTGAGAGCGTATGATAAGACATAATTAAGAAAAAGTACCTTTCCATCTTGATGACCCGTGAAGATTCTTTCTCCAGAAATGATTATTGCCTTCACCAATCCACTATTTGATTTGAATCCAGCAAATTCTTTTTGATTTTTCCATACCCTAATATTTTTGCTATCTGATCCAGTATATAACAAGTCTCCAGAAGCTGCTAATGAATATATATGGCCTTCTTCACGAACAAGGGATCCAATAAGACCTGTGTAAGGATAACTTTCGACGTGTGACGACCAAGGAGATTTTGATAATGGAGATGTTAGGTCCATAGAAGGCATTGAATATGGAGAAGATAATGAATAATGGTCATCTGAATTAGGTGAAGGAGAGACCATATTGTAATCAGAGCTCAATGGAGAAGGGCGATTATCGAAATTTGCAGGGCCTGCAGCTTCAGATATATTGCTCGTACGAAAATTAGTAAATTCATCTTGATCATGATTTGGATCAGATTGTAACATGCTCCCAAACGTTTGTTTCCTAGGGATATTGATGTTGTCTTCTGTCACCATATTGTGGTGTTTTCTTGAATTATTCCTCATCATGTCTTGTTCCAAAATCAATCAACAAACCTAAGGTTGATGATAATGAAACAAGAACAGAACAAATAGAAAATTAGATTCTATGTAGTTCCTATTAATAGGGTGGAATAAAGAAAAGAAAAGTTACGTAAGATGTTTGGAGAAGAATATATATAATGTGTCTATATGTTTGTGAATTCAAACGGAGAGAAATTAAGGTACGGTCATGAAGATTTTTGGTACAAGACTTTTGGGAGGGCAAAATTAAAGACGTAGCTATCATGGATAGTTGACGTGCAATTTGTCAAAGAGGATTTTCTTTTTGTTTTCCATCCGGTGTTTGTTATCCGCATGAGGCTCGACTAAGTCCGAATTCGTATCTAAAAGTCTTACATTGAAAAGTAAAGCGCTTCTATCAAAGATAACTTTTGACACAGAGCTTGAACCTGAAATCTCTAGTTAATGTGAATGTGTACTTAACATTCCACCACGACTCTATTTAGGGAAGCACTAGGAACGCCCGACTTTTAATTTTTGATGTTTTTCTCGTTTTGCGCTTTTTTTTTCATTGGTTGATCATAATTCACTTGTTATTCAACTAATATGTATATCTTGCGTCAATATTTTCACACACTGGGTGTTTTCTGAAAATCATTGCTTGTAAATTTACATTTTCTCCTGCGAGAGTACGGTAGAAGGATAAAAAAAATATGGACTCTAAGTATTTACACCAAATCACATAAATATTTTATAGTTAAGTACTATATATTTTGGTAATTATACAAATCCATAGTCAAATAATAACATATTTGTATCATGTATTGATTGATTTTGTGTACATATTAAATGTGAATATATAAACTCTTATGGTGGATACTATGCAGTTTTCAAAAAGGAGATTCAGAAGGAAGTTCCATTAAACTATATCCAAGAATATAGGTAAAACATAGAAAAGATTGATTCTCGTAAAACTACGAAGAGATCAAAATATACATTTTCTCTTGATGATATAACAGGCACCACCCATACATTTATTTGGAAAAACTACTGCAGCATCTCTTCTTAATTTAAGTTCTTTCGCCTAAACTTATTTAAAGAAAAAGATAAACAGGAATATGTTTAAATGTGCTGCCTATTAGTAGATTGATTCAGCAAGAAAATAGAAAGGATAAGGGATACATTATTACACGAGCTTATAATAAAATAAAATAAAATTTACTCAATCAAGCAGAGGAAAAAGAAAAAAGTATTTTTTTTTCCTAAAAAAAGAATGTATATAAGAGGGTGTTTGGTTGGTTCGATTAAGAGATTTGATCTTCGCATAAAATCCAACATATTTTAGTACAATGTTTGGTTATTACTTTTCTATTCATAAATTATGCAGAAATCTATATATTATTTTATGTGGGATAGAAAGTGGAATAAGAACATGAATATTATTAATATATGCACTAAAACAACTAAAATGATAAAACTCACAGTTGTAATGGGATACAGATTTCTATGTTATTTGAAAGTAAAAACTACACATGTTTATTGTACATTTATATTAATTTATAATCAAACTAAAGACGACACAAAAAATAATCTTTACATTATAATTCCTCTACATCTCTAATCTCTGTATTTCTAATCTACCTTTTTTTATTAGAAACTTTCCAATACTCGTTTGAGTTCACACTCCACAGCCTCTTTATAGGCTTTAACTCCTACCAAACTAGATGCATTAAAATTAAAACTATTCAATCTCTTTATTAGCTAGATAGACTGCATTACAATCTCTTCTTCTTCTTTTTTAATTAATCAACTAGATAGTAATATCTTTGATCTTGAAGCCAATTTATAGGCTTCAAATCCTACCAACATCAAGATGCATGGATCGGATAGACAAAAACAAAATTTAAAATTGTCCCTTTTCTTTATTAGCTAGACTAGATATCAACCTTTTTTTTCTTTTTCTTTTTCTTTTATAAATTATTCAACTAGATAACAATATCTTTTATGTTCAAATGGTTGGATAAAATATAAAGCAATGTCTGTCTTTGTTAGCTAGATAACAATCTCTTTGAAATTATGGTTGGAGTCTTATCAATTTCTCCCGCTCTCAGAAGGAAAATTTCGTCCCCATATATTATTCGATATAACAATTAACCAGACAGGATACAAGATATTTGTATAGGAACAAGTATCCACTCATAATATAACACAATGACTTTGGCAATCTTAGCTGATTATTGCACATTACGACTAACTCCATTTTGATCAATCAAGAAAGTGATAGCTTTATCAAGTACCTCGAGGGACCATATGCCCTTTTAGGAGTGGTTAACAGATTATAACGCTTCAGGTCACATGATTTTATTTATTAGTGTTTTGCAATTTGACACTGAAAACAGATGCGAAGCAAGGATTTGAAGCTTATAAGTCGGAAATTTTAGTTTTTATGTTCTGAATTCTAAATTTAAAATTTAGACATATTCAATGAATTTTTTAAAAATAAATATAAGATTTAAACCAAAGTTATTAAGTTTGATCGAACCCGTAAACTCTATATTAGCTTCACCCCTGAATGGAATAGGTCCCGCGGCTGATTGTTTAATTGGAGTTGCATTTTATGACAGAAATCGAATCTTCTCACACCCATTATATGGGTCTGGGAACCAAGGCCTCACAGGAAGCATAATCCACTATTTACCGGGTAGTTGATACATTATTTTAGGAAAAAAGACACTATATAACCGCTATAAAAACAATAGCAGAAAAAATATATAAAAATTGTATATTATATATATATATATATATATATATTCTGTATATATATATATATTCTGTATATATATGTATACAGTCAAAATCATGTGCCCCCAATTTGTAGGCTCGAGGGGTCGCGTCGAGAACAAGTTCGATATGGACCGAGCTAGAGCCCGAAGGCAGAATACGAAGCTTGAAGATCAAAGTGCTCGATGAACAATGGGGCCGAGTATGATCAACCTCAAGATAATACCATTATGGTTTTATAACAGAAAGAGCGAGATTCCCGCGGTGGCCCTAAAATCACGGCGTAAATTTCGAAACAGATTTGTACTAGGCGGTTAGACAGCTGTATAATAAGATTCCTTACTACAATCGAAATTGTACCTTATTTAGGATTTCCCTACTATATAAAGGGGACTCCAATCATTTGTAATCATCATCAATCATTAGCAAAAGAATATACACTCTTACTTTCTTGCTCATTACTCATCCGAATTGTCTCTTCACTTTATTGTCTTTACTTTACTGTTCTTATTGACCTACCTCGAGGTCATCAAAGCTCGAGGTCAAGACTTGATTAAGCACTGGTTTGATTCAACTTACTTCTTTAATTTATACGTTTGGTTTCTTGATTATTAGTTAGTATTGGACTAAATCATGTATCTTTAAGACCACAAAATAAGGTTAATTGTTACTCGGATTTCAGGATAAACAGTTTGGCGCCCACCATGGGGCTAAAGATAATAGTGATTATTTCAGTACTAATTTTGATAACACACGTTATTTTTACACTTGTTCTTGTCAAGGATTTTTGTTCTCGAATTAAATCATGTCAAACTCACAAAACGCACCCGTACATGGCGACGATGGTCTTGGATTTCACAGGGAAAACAACAATGTAGTTGCTCGGGGAGCCGGTGTACCACCGATTAACCCTGGGGAAGTGCCGATTGTAGAACTAATCGACGTCAGTTCACACATTGCTTTGAACGCGGACCTAGGCGCAGACCCCGGAGGTAGTGTACGCAGGGAAGTCTGACCTGGTAGCCAAGGAACACAGGGTATAGGAGATGGGGATGTTAGCCTTCAAGTAATATTCGAGATGCTACAAGCTCAACAGGTTGCTATCGCTCAACTTCAAAGTCGGCATAAAATTCCAAGTGTGGTAGAACCAGGAATTACTCTCCGAACTGAGTCGGTGCCAGAAAGATCAAACGATAATGGCTGGGGGACTGATCCCACGATTATGAGGATGCTCGAAGAACTCACCAAAACAATCGAGTCGGGGGAGAAAAAGATTAAGGATAATGACAAAAAAGTGGAGACGTATAACTCTCGTGTTGATCATCGGAGGCACCCCCGATCTTAAAAGGTTTGGATGCCAAGAAATTCGTACAAAAGTCATTCCCTCCGAGTGCGGATCTGAAGCCCATTTCCAAGAAATTTCGTTTGCTAGATATACCTAAGTACAACGGGGCGAGCGATTCTAATGAACACATCACCTCGTACACATGCAGGATTAAAGGAAATGACTTAAATGATGACGAGATCGAGTCGGTTTGTTGAAACAATTTAGAGAAACCTTGTCAAAAGGAGCAATGATTTGGTATCACAACTTTACACCAAATTCCATCGATTCATTCTCTATGTTAGCAGACGCCTTCGTAAAGGCACACGCCGGGGCTATAAAGGTTGCAACAAGGAAGTTGGACATTTTCAAGATAAGGCAGAAGGGTGATGAACTGCTAAGGGAGTTTATATCCCAATTTCAAATGGAGCGAATGGCATTACCACCGGTATCAGATGATTGGGTTGTCTAAGCTTTTACATAGGGGTTGAACGAGCGGAGCTCGATCGCGTCAAGTCAGTTGAAGCAAAATCTGATCGAGTATCCAGCTGTAACTTGGGCAAATGTGCATAATCATTACCAATCAAATATCAGGGTCGAGGACGACCAGCTGGGAGCCCCCTCAGGTTTAGTTCATCCAAATAGATTAGTAGTTAAAGCCCCAAGAGATACCGATAGGGAACTAAGATCAAATAGGGAACAGTATCAGCCATATGTCACAGATCAAAGAAACAACAGTTTGGGGCGTAATCCTCCCCGGAATGATCGAAGAAACGATCGAGGGAAAAATTCTCGGGGATTTATGAGTAAGAGAAATTTTGATAAACATACTGATCCTGCAGAAGCACCTCGGTTATCGGAGTATAATTTCAGTGTCGATGCATCGGGGATCGTATTAGCTATCAGAAGGATCAAAGACACCAGGTGACCCAGACCTATACAAACCGATCCTTCTCAAAGAAATCCAAACTTCATGTGTAAATATCATGGTATGCATGGCCATAGGACCGAAGACTGCAGACAGCTGAGGGAGGAGGTAGCTCGATTGTTCAACGAGGGTCATCTTCGGGAGTTTCTCG